CTGATGATTGCCCAATGTTCAAATCTATCTAGATACCTCTGCAAGGCCTCTTGTCTCTCAAGAGAGTTGACAGCATCTCCCAATTCCATATCATCAGCAAACCTGATAATGGGGCATTCAACTCCTGCCTCCAGATCATTGATATATGTGTCGAACCACACTGGCCCTAGAATTGAGCCCTGAGGAACTGTGCTGGTGACCACCAGCCAGATGTAACAAGATGCCGATGCCTCATCCTCTGTCTTTCTCTGGCCCCGGGACAAGGGGAAATACCTTATTGCTTCTAGACATTTTCTCTCTGAGAAGGCCCAACCATGCAGAGGCTCAAATAGCACAGAGAAACAGCAGTCAGTAGAAATGAGAATATCCATTCAGAAAGCCACGTTGCTTTCCTTTCTAGCCTATCACTAGAGGACAGATGCAAGAACAAGTTACAGCTGTGAGACTTTTAAAGTTGAAAGCTTGAAATGAGCAGGGCACAGGCCCCTGGGTCAGGCTCTTGGTGGTTAGTCTGCTACTCAGCAAAATGAGAGGATTATATTGTCTTCTGGTACCTGCTGCCCACCCCCCTGAAATTTCTGACAGAGGAACCATCTTTCATTCCTGAACAATGTGATTCCTCGCTTAAAAAAATAAGGCATGAGTTGGACTGTTGCGGCAAAACAACTCTCATGAATCTTCATGCTAGTTATACTTGAGTAGACAAATAGAAGTCATTTATTGGTGTAAAAACTGGAATCTATTAAGAACAACATTAGGGCAACAGCAAAATACAAAGATATGAAAACTCTACTTATTAACAGGATACTGTTACTTAGCAGAAATTTTTCACAAGGCAGCGCTTTCCTCTTTACGTGATCTGATTTTCCAAATAGCTTCAAACAATACATGTTTTAATATTATTTTCAGGATAGGCTGCCAAGAATGCAAAGAATTCAAAGAATTATTTGCTAGAGGTAGAGAATTTGTGTTTTGAAAGGGAGAGGGGATTTCTCATGTCTTTAATACATCTTGCACTTACACCATCTCTGTGTGATTAATAATACCAGCTCTACAGAACTGTAAGAGTGCTCAGTGTATGAAAGGGAACATTACTGAAACAGTACAAGTAACATATGACCTTGGTATCAGAGGAAAAGATACCTGATAACAAAATATCTCATGTGAAGGTACCAGCTTCTGTTCCAGATATGCAGCTGGCTTATTTAGCACCACTGGGTAAGCTGCTTACCTTCCACATCACTGAGAGCCAACGTGAAAGTCATGGCCTAGGATCACCAGGATTCCATAAAAAGGACTCTTTGCCTTCCAAGTTTCCCCACTACTTATTATTGTTTTAATTTAACTAGGAAATTAGCCAAAAATCTTGAAAATTATCATGCAAAGCAGAAGAGTAAAAACTCAAAGTGAATTCTCTTTTTCCTAAAGGACACACAGTAGTATGTAAGGTGCATGCAACAGAGAATAGAAATGCTGAGCTACAGAAAAGCTGATATGAAAGACTGAGGTTAAAAAAAGTCAGAAAAAGATCTTCACTCTAAGCTGCTGGCTCTTGAAATGCAGGCACAAACCAGAGGAAACTCTTCTGCCAAGTAAAATGACTGGGAATTATGCAAACAGAGTGATCTGCAAAATCTGACATTATACAGAATGATGAAAGAATGAACAAAAGAAATCAAATAAAACTCTGAAGTCAGACAGAGCAGTATTCTCCCCCTAAAGTCTGTTCTCCATTTGCATGCTGACCATTTGTAAGGAGTTGCAGATTTCTCAATTACCAAGTTAGAAAACTGTGATGTTGAAAAGAAATATTGATTTTCTTTCTCAGCCTGTAAGGGTTTTTTCATTTCATTTTCCAACAGGGGACCTATGAATGGAATACTTGAAAAAAATCCCAAAACCTTTAGCACTATCAGGAAGGTTCCTAACCTTTAACACAAAAGAAAACAACGCACATAAAAGAATTTTGAAAAATCAATTTATTGTAATTTTAAACAAATCAGAACAGTTGTAAAACAGACTAAACAAAATATCTAAACCGGCAAATTTTCTGTGAACCAGCATTTCACATACTGCAGCAGAAAAGTTTATGAGGCCAGGTTCCTTCAGCAAAGCAAAGAAATGAGTTCATTTTAAAAGGAAGAGAAAAATAAGCTGAGAGAGTAAAGTGGTTTTGCAATTAGAACCTGAAAAAAGTAGATTCCTACAATGACATTAAAAAAGATATGAACAATTTGACCAGTTTAAGCACAGGAAAAGTATGAATTTACAGATATAGAATGCAATAGGTGAAATTGTTTTCATAAGTCTTGGAAAAAAATGTTACAAAATTGCATGCCTCATAAGGTAAAATTATTTAAGAGCTTTAGATAAAAAATACTATAGGCATATCATATCACAGACCTAAGTTACAAAAAGTAACTCAACAAATACAACAAAATGCAACAGTGCATATTTGCAATGAAATCCTATAGTTTCTCAGTAAAATCAGGAGAAAGGGTCCTCTCTACTCTATGCACAAGAATGGAAAAGCAGTTCCCTCTTCTTTATTTGTTGTTAGAGTTTTGGGAGTTTGTGGGTCATAATTTCAATTCCCTGCAATCACAAGGGGTAGAGATGGTTCTGCTATCACTGCTTCCCACCTACACAGCCACTGTGGATTTCATTATAGCTGACTGAAAAAAATAAAACAGCAAGAGGAAATATCATTTACTTCCTGCTCCTATTAGTAGATCTTGCACGGTAGTTTTCTGGCAGAGCTGTTAATATCCATGTTTGAGGCCATGCCTTACAAAGCTTCCAGATGTCACCACTGCAGCCTGCTGGTATCCTGTATGCTGCCTCCAGATGTGCTCCTGACACTCCAGCACTGTTAGACCATATTGTTCCCAGCCAAGAACAAGATGACTATTCTATTTTCTTTAGCATTTCTCAAGTAACAAGACAGAAGCAAGAACAAATCTGCAACTACAGCCTGTCAATAAGGCTTTGCTTGCCTATTCCAAAAGACTCAGCTTGGAGATCAGTCACCTCTCACTTAGAGGTAAAACCCAAGGCAGATGACTGCACAAAAAGGCACCAAGAGGAGCTGCCCAGAAAAGCAATCGTGCATTAATGTCTCTTCATCCCTCATGAAGCAATTGTCTAGTGGCAGCTGCCGCATAGGCACAGATCTGGGAACCAAGGACATGCCACAGGAGGGACAGATGGGAAACTGGCATGTCCTCTGCCTCCTACTCAGAGAAGAGAAATGACCCCTTTTCCACTCAGCAGCTTTTTGAAAAATAATATGGAAATGAAGTGGCATAATTTGCTTTTCTCAAAGCTTTAACTCCTTTCTCTTCAGCACCTCTGCAGGTTGTTGGAGAGGTGCAGCCCATGCCCCACTTTCCACCTGACTGCCACAGCAGGGAAGGGAGAGGAGCCCATGTGTTCCAGCCCTATGTGATTGTAGGCACAACACCCAAGCAGAGGCCAACCTGGCAAGACAAGTTGTGGTTTCATCTGCACTGAGCATTTGTATGAGGAACTCGGGTTGGTTTTTTGTTATTTCCCCTGTTTTTAGATTCTGGTCCCATCCTGTTTGGTTTGGTGAAGTCTGGCACATGCTGCAGGTGAATTCATTGAAACATAGGCTGTTCCAAAAATAAATGTTCTGGTTTCAATTGTTATATAGCAGTTATCTATAAAACACTTACTTATTTTAATCTCTTTCTGCAATCTCTATGGGTTATTTTGGCCACACACATGACCAAAGTTACAGGGACAATCACAGAATTGCAATTCAGAAGAAAAATAGTAAAAGACCCTGGTTCTCCAGGTTTTATTGCATTTTAACATGAATTTATAATAAGCATTCTAGGCTATTTTCTAATTCTCCAGATAATATTATCAATAATATTTTTAATGAATTTAATCTATTAATTAATTCAGTTTGATCACTGAGAATATTTCTACTTCACTTTTGTATAGGCTATCACACATTCAATACTTTTCAGTGTGAACTGAAGGGAAAAATCATCCCTTCTGTGCTAACACAAATCATCCCCTTGAATGTAGTGCCAGAGTTGAAAGCAATCCACTTCTCTCAGCATCTTGCAATTCTGCTTACAGCACAACACTTCCATGTATTTCTCCCATCACTGCATCACCTGTAGAGAGTGAGACAGTCCCCAGAACATGAATTGCTCAGCTTGGCCCCAAACCCCAATTTGCACACATTCAAGAATAAACAAGACCTTTTCAAAATCAATGGATTCTTCACTGCATTTATAGACAGAGATGATGCTCCGTTTTCCAAAAAGAACGCTGAGTCCTTTAGGTGGTCATTACTACAAAAATATTCTACATCAAAACCCACCATATGGTTTTCTGCAAACCTTCTGCTCCATGCCAGTGTGGTATGCTGATATTTCATTTCTCTGTCTGCTTACCAATACGATGTATGCAGAATCTAAGAAACTGCTTGTGTGCCTATTCATGTCTCCATTCAGCACTGTGTCCGCTCTTCATTACTTCCTCCAGCATTTAACAGTGTAGGATAGAGTCGTGTATGGCATTAAGAAATGTTTCTCCCCTTGCACTACTGTGGATTTGCCTTCTGTTTGCTTGCTTGGCCTGAGGGAATTTTTCTCAAGTAGCATTTTGGACAAGTAGCTGTGTTAAACTCTATCAACACCACTTCAGGACAGAGATACAACGTTCAAGCATAAGCTTTGGAGCAAGGATCATTGAATTAAGTAATGAGAGATTTTAATGGATGCCTTCAAGAAATGGAATAGGTGTACACTGAAATGGTGTATCTCCAACACAACTGATGTCTTTCCTATTTTAAAATAGAAAATATTAGCAAGTTTTCTGGTTTAAGAGCATCAGTTAACAAAAGAAGTGGGTATCTACTGTACTTCCATGCTGCTTTTTCCAATAAACACAGAACAACTGCAGGGGTGAAAACTGTTCCATCTGTTCATGAACATAATTCCTCTGTTTTTTGTTTCCAGCTCATCCTTGCCACATGGGAAGGCGGCTACAACTTGCAGTGCCAGAACCTCCACAGTGCAGGGGAGGCCGACATCCGGGTGAGAGACAGCAGCAGCTCAGCCCTCAACATCTGCAGCAATCCTTCCCTCCATGTCCCTGATGCAACACCTCTGCATTCAAGGAGGTTATAAGGATGCTATCAGTAACATCTTTGACATGAGCATTTTAATCTGGTTGTTCAATAGCTGGTAGCCCAAGCAGTGTAATATTTTGTTCAATATAAATGCATCCTTGCAGTGGAAAGCACAATAGGACATATTTTGAAAAGCCACATATCAAGACCTGTAGTCACAACAGTGTTGCCTGACTATTAAAACAGAGAATTAGATTCTTTAAAAACTTTGAACAAAGATAAAAGATCTAAAAGGTAAGTCTTGTTGGGCTGTACTTGGACACTGATTTAAGCCCAGCTGTAAACTCTGCAAACCTGCAGGGACATTTTGCTGGCTTGACTCATCTCTAGTTTCAGCCCTTATTTCTGCGTCACAGCAATTCCATGTATTAACCTTCTTTCATTCCCCATATCAGGTTTATTTTCCAGATGACATTAGAGCTCAAGGGCAGAAAGATTGGTTGACTTATATCATTTCCCCCAACCCTTAAAATTTGCCTGTGTTATGGCAAGGAAAAGGTTAGTTAAATACCTTTTCCCATCAACAAGGTGTTTCCCCCCTTTCTATTTGTCTTTAACTGTCCTAGGACATATCCTGAGCTCTGATAAAAAGTCTCTGCTCTAGAGGAAGATATATTTCATTATATTGAGTATTGAATTTAGATTTTTAAAAAGAAGCTGGCAGCAAAATCTTTTCAGTACCAAAAAAATATGAATGGTAGCATCCTTAAAAAAGGACAAACAACAAAACACCAAAAAACCCCCCAAAACAAAAAAAACCACAACCCACAAAACTGTACCTTTGAAAAAGGAAAAAAGCCAAACAATTAGAAAATGCTTCCTCAAAGTTTATATTTCTTAAATTATATTGATAATCATGTATTTATACAATCACATAAAAGATGTGCAGTTTTTTTTCAAAATGCTTCACTGAAAAGGGAAATAAAATCGAAGCCAGAGCTTGTGCTTCGCCTTCAATAGCATGTTAATGCCTTCTGAGAAGTTGCATGCCTAGGGTCTGAAGAAGTACAGTAATACTTAAGCTCTTGTACGGACAGATATTGATTTCCTGCTCCTTTGTTCTTGCTTGTACAGGTAGCCAAGGTGCTGTGGTGGTATTATTTTTCCAAAGTAATTGAATTCATGGACACTATCTTCTTTGTACTGAGAAAGAAAAGCAGCCAGATCACCTTCCTTCATGTGTATCACCATGCCACTATGTTTAACATTTGGTGGTGTGTTCTGAACTGGATACCTTGTGGGCAAAGTAAGTGTTTGTTTCTTAACCTGGGGTATAAGTCAGTTGTGGCTGGAGAGGAATCACATCACAGTGCAAAGGAAGTGTGTCACTGTGCGATGTGATAGCACCTTTAAGGTTCACAGCCTTTCAGAACTGCTGATCACCTGCAGACTGTAGTAAAATTAAAAGCATGGCTAAAAGTTTAGGCCAAAAATACCTGAATGTTAGGCCCTAGATTTTCTACTTAGCCACCACAACATGTCATATTTACTTCTTTTCAAACCACTTTTAAGAGCAACATTACTGAGTAGTGCACCAGAGTGATCACATACAAGATCTACTCCAAAAGCTGTGTAGGGAGGAATCATGATCCTAGTAAAGTTGGTATCAATCACAACTGCAATCAATAGCACTTTTACAGGTTTGATTCCTGTATGCATCAATCTGACACACTGCTTTAGCAAATTACTTTACTTGCTAATCACTAATTAAAATAACAGTTTGAGTTTGTCCTGTTTTGTACGAGAACACATCTCATTCAGGCAGTAAAAGCACTGGATAGCTAGAAGTGATCAATACAATGTAGTATTCCATGTAGAAATAGCAGCATCCTTTGCCTTATTGTATTTTGGGTTCAAAATATTTCACAAAAGTAATCTCTAAACTACTTGGCTCTTAAAGGATACTGTAATTGTCATCATATTCCCTGTTGAGGAGGGGAAGATTTATGGTGCCATAGACTGATCACTTGGTATTTGTGTGAGTCCAAACAACAGGGAACTACTTCAGCTCTCTTACAACATGCACAGTTTTCCAGGCCTCCACACCACATCCTGTGGAAGGTATTGTCAGAGTTGAGAAGAAAAACAGTTTTCTGCTCTTCTACTAAAGGGACTCACCTCAATCTATTGTAATATTTTGTAAAGAAACTAGTTGCAGGTGTTTTTCAGAACCAAAAGCAGAATTCATATTTGTTGGCACTTACTATGGGCAGCACAAAATCAAAGTAAATCACTGTTATAGGTAGAAGCAGGGATCAAGGATTTCATAGCAAATCTAGAAATAGGAGCTATTTCTAGAGGTCTAAACAAATTAATGGGGGTTTGTGCTTTCTAATGTGTCTGAACCTGGTCCCCACAGTTTGCGCTAGTTTTGCATTACTATAATTAAGGGACTGAAAAATCAGTAGCTAAGTAATTAATCAGTGGAAAAATCAGAACTGGCAGGACTGTCTTGTTGTAGCACTGCCATCAAACACATGAGGATACAGCAGAGTAATGCTGCTACTTCTCTGTAGTCTGTAAGGTACAGAGGGTAATTAACTTGCCCTAGAACTAGTATTCACCAAGTGTAGCTAATAAAAGCAGCAAGGTATTATCTGGGATCAAATTCTGCAAATCTGCGTCTAGCAGAAAAGTCACTGAAGAAAATGAGCGATGCTCAAACACAGCCACTAGGGGCTGGTTTAATTCAGAGCAAAGCCCTTGCTCACTGCATCAGAGAGCAGGAGCATGAATGCCTCCCAGGGCTTTAAGCTGCCATACTAGCAGCAAAGTCATCCACAGCAGTGTTTAAAGCTTACCCAAATAATGGGGAGATTCACAGCAAGAAGAAGGTTGGGAGGGAAAGAAAAAAATAGCCTGTAAACCACAGAATAAAAAAAAAAAAAGGGCGGAAAAGAAAAATATGGGATAAAAATACAATAGTCAGCGTAAGAAAAACCATGTAAGAAGTATCATTCAGTTTGTCATATGCCCCTAGGACAGCATCTCTACACATCAGGAATGTTTTTAGCAAGGGATAAGCATGAAAGGAATACTTAGCATATGGAAGAGATATCACAAACAATAATATCTTCTCTCACTTTTTAGCAGTTGGTATATAAAATTTTTTTCCCTGGTGGATTTTTACAGGTTTCTTTGGACCCACTCTGAATAGCTTTATCCATGTGCTTATGTACTCTTACTACGGACTGTCAGTCATCCCATCCATGCGCAAGTATCTCTGGTGGAAGAAATACCTCACTCAGGCACAACTGGTATGTATCTATTTTACTTTCAATTTAGCTACCAGAAATACTTTGAAATGCGAGAGAGGATGAAATGAACTATGAAAAAACATTGTTATTTACAGAACTAAGCCAGTTAGAATTGAACTATCATACAGCATAAGTCACTAGTGCAGCCTGATATAATTTAAAGAAAATGATGTTCAGAAATTATTTCTACAATACAGTAGAAATACCTCAGTCCACAAAGTTCTGTTATTTTTGAACTCTTTCATAGAAAAGCTTCTTAATCCCAGAAAAACTGATTTAAAAGTGATAAAAACCATGTAACAGAGCTGCCTCCAGCCAGCTCCAAGACCTTTGATTCTTGGTTTTCTTTTAATTTCATAAGAGTGCCATTTTAACCTAACCCTCACAATACAATCAGAGGTTAGAAAGGGACAGTTTTCAAGAGTACTCAAATTTTCAAAGAGCAGGATTAGTGGACACTGCTGCATCTGATTTAGCTAGCACTGACCCTTTCTCAGCAAATAGTCATGCATTATCTTCCCTCCACAGATTCAGTTCCTGCTCACTATTGTGCACACACTTAGTGCAGCTGTGAAGCCATGTGGATTCCCATTTGGCTGCCTCATGTTCCAGTCCTCCTACATGGCCACACTGGTCATTCTCTTTATAAACTTTTACATTAAGGTAAGCACTCTTCCAAGAGGTCCCTGACAAGACTGGGGAAAATATAACTTTTTGGATAGCACTATTGATGGACTCAGATGTAGAATGAGCATCAGGACTTAAAATATGTTTGTATTAAAATATATGTCACTTAATGATATAGTAATGCCTATGAGAGAGTTATTCAGTAATAACCTCCTCATTGCAGCTCAGCTCTTCAGCACTTGTATAACAAGTCAAGTACCACATTCAATACTTAAAAGGTCTGAGTTTGCTTTGTTGCATAACTTTTTGAGTCTTTCTCAGTCCTTAAAAAAAAAAAAAAACAAAAAACTCTGTATTGTTTACTTCAACCTCATTTAGCAGGGGCTGCTCCAGCCTGCCTGCATACATAGAGTTTTTAGTTTAAAGGCTTGAAATCTCTTTTGACATCAAGTATTACGGTAATACTAGTAAAGTAACATCACCCACAGCAATGAAAAGAGTACAGTACCCTTAATGCAGTCTGAAGCAAATAGATACATCTGCATCAAAAAACACCAGACAGCTTCATTTACAGTTAACAATAGGTAGTGTTTTTGGGCCACTAAATAAATCCAAGTGTTTACTTTGGATTTTGCTTTTATAGACATACCGGAAAGCTCCTTCAAGAACAGCTATAAAGGAAACCTCTGTCACAACAGAAATCAAGAATGGTTTTCATAAGGACTACTTTGCTGCTGCCAATGGATTCCAGAACAATAAGAAGGCACAATAAGTATAGTGTTTCCTATGACCTTTTTTCCTAAAAAAAGAAAAAAAAAAGAAGAAAAAAGACTGAATTACAAGCTTTAGCTTAAAACCTATTTGATTACATTTATCAGTTCTTTGTACCAGACACTTATTAATGTACTGCTATTTAGGTTTTAACAAAGTGAGTAGGATTACTTGTCTTGTCAAAGATCACCATCAGAACATAGAAAGCCAAGATCTTTCTCATATGAAGAAGAAAACCTTTCTGATCTCTAATGCTGACACAAAAACGCCTTATGAAACTCTTGATGGATAAATCCATCAATGCCTTCAAAAGGTTAGGACTCTGTTCAGACTAAAACAGTGAGCACTTTCTGTGCATGTGAGAGGTCTTGAGGCAAGGCTTCACAGTGCACTCAATGCATCCAGCTAAACTGTGGCCAAGGTCAGGAAAATAAAGAGGGTAGAGGGAAAGGTGAGAATCATACCTTTTCTATCACCACACCCCTCTTTTCTTCTTCTCAGCCATTCCCCAAAGCACATTCCCTCCCTGTGGACACCAGCAAGGAGCCCTTCGATCCTGTGGGAGGCCTAGGGAAGAACATGACAGAGGGCAGAGCCCAGGTGCACCATCCCATAGTTAACAGACAGATGTGCACAGCACTCAACTTTCTTGACATATATGCAACCTGATTCAAATGCCAGGAAGGCTGGCAGAAGCTTGCTGTTTCAGGGGGCTGCAGTGGAAGTCCTTGGAACTGCCCAGTATTGTATTCTGAATACAGAGCAAAACAAGTCACTTTGGATACACTAATTATTAGGAGTTCTGAGGAAACGGATGTTGAAAGAAATAGGGGCTTAGCGACTTAAGGAAGATAAATCCTGAGTGTAAATGTGTAAAAGTTAATCCTATACAAACACTGCTGATTTGAAGTAAACTGACATGCCACATATTAATAGACAGGAAGTTGCAGAAAATCTTAAAAGTGGATTCAGCAACGAGCAAAGCATATTGTACAGGAATTTCTGTGCCAGGTGGACCTTATTCAGACTAGTCTCTGACTGGAGAAACAGGTGGGACTGAGGCATAATCCTCTGCAGGGAAAGCAAGGAGATACTTACTGTCTGCAGCTGTAAAGGCGTCTCTCTCACAACAGCCTGCCACATTCCATGCTGCTTCAGTTAGCTGCATTTTCCCCTCCCTACCCCTTGAATGGTTAGAAATTCAAAATATTCAAGGTTGACATTGTGGATCTGCCCTCACCCTTTTCTCACTTAGCCCACTCCATTTCTCTACTAAAAACAGACACAGACTTTTTTCCCCTCTCAATTTTTCACAGTGAAGTAATTATGGTCACTTCCATTCTCATGTGTATAAATTCTCTCAAAAAACCCCACCTGTCAGTCACCCAGCCCAGCAAGCCCCTTGGAATGAAGCAGTTCTGTAAAGAAAACTTGTCCTCTCACTCCTGTCACCTTGCAGGGTCCCAGGGCAGGAGGGGGACAAACCACACACACAGCCAGCACAGAGGGACCAAAAAGCCACAGAGGGCCTATGTGTAGAGGAGGATGTCCCAAACCATGCTTTTCAATTCTTTTCCACTTCTAGAGGGTCAATTATCCCCTCTAGATATCCTCATCTAGATGATCTGTCATCAGGGACTCTGGGAGACTGCAGGTGCAAACACAGGAGAAAGGTTTGTTCCAGGGAGGAGTATGGACACAGGGCAGCCAGCCTCATCAGGAGCAGCCTGGGAAACTGCAGGCTCCATGCAGGCTCATGGACAGAAAGGAAAAGGGGTGAGGAAGTGGCACAGTACAGGGGGAAGAACAGACAGGTTTGTCCAGCAAGAGGAGAAAATGGCATGAAGAAGGGTATTGGGTCAGAGTTCAGTTTGAATGTGATGGCTACAAAACATCACTGTCTGAAAGTCAGTGTTTTGCTTTATTTAACATTCAATAAAGAGGGAAAGCAGCAGTTTAAAAAAAAAAAAAAAGCCTGGACACTGCATGCATATACTATTTCTCATTAGCCCTTCCAGAACCTTTGCTTTCTAGGCCTTTCTGATTGATACTGTAAAACTCCCACGTTGTAAGAAATTTGTGGGTTTCACTGAAAGTGTTCTACATGGCCATAAGTAAATGGGAAGCTTCAGGGCTCTGCAGATATCAACTTGATACTGGAAACCGGGGCAAAGGCAGAGGGCTTTGAAAGAGCTGACAAGACAGTGCACAAGGCAACTAGCTGAACCATTCATCTAAGGCAGGCAAGAAAAGGGTTGTGTGTCTCAGCACAGATTTTAGGCCGAGTGGAGTCCATAATCTTTTGATGGCAAAGCGTGCATTTGACTATCAAGGTGGGCAGCGTCAGCACGCTAAGTGTTCAAGTTTACTACGGCAATCAAACCCACACATATTGTCTTTTGTTTTGTTGAAACCTCATTCAAAAGAAAAGGAAATAAATAAATGCCTTACTTGAAATTCAAAGGGCTGGGGAAAAAAAAAAGGCTGGGGAAAAAAAAAA